AAGATAACATCATATCAACTCAATGACATGGTACATATTCGCCTTATTCACTTTTGGACAAATCACATTTTGTCTCTTTGTATGCAAACACGGCTTTTGATAAGATTATCTCACTTAATTTGTGGCTATCAACATTTCAATAGAACATGAAATCAACCATCAAATTTATCAAGTAATTCTCATATTCCAATAGAAGTAGTCATGAAATTTCATGTACTTCCAACAAACGGTAGGCATCCTTACACATCCTTTAGAACCATTAAAGATTAATAGGCTGGTCTCAAAATGCAAATATGGATATGCTTTACTTGCACTTCGAAATCCATAAACCAACATATTAGCAAATGTACCGTGCAACAAATGATGCCCTACAGAAACATGTAGGCTATCCAAGTGGGTTCGTGTTTTATCCAAGCAAATGTGATAGCCCATAAATTGAAATTATTCACCGAATAACAACCATGATCAAGTAGATCTTTAGCCACCACAATTAGTTTAAATTGCATTATTTAAAATGTTATGCATAAAAGTCATTCCCAATTGTCACAGCAAAGTGAGAATAATCAATTAATCAAAATTGATTTCCACAATATTCTTTATACAAGAATGTCATTTAGAGCATATTATAAATTTTGTCATGCTAATATGCAAACACTATTTGTGCTCTAAAATATTTTCATTTCTCAATAGATGCGCAAGCATCTTCTGCTTTAAAATAAATTAAGACAAAACACAGTTTGTCATGCTTTTATGCAAATATAATTGACATATAATCATCTCACTTAATTCTCTATGATTAAATGAGGCTATCCACATTAACTCAAGTTAGCATGAGTTCAACAAGACATGAAATCAATCAAACAAATTTATCATGTCAATTTTAATTTTCTAGGAGAGAAATGGTCGCAAAAGTTCACATAAAATTCTAACACTTTAGAATTTTCTTTCCCATATGTAACATATGCAATGTTTTGAATTTCATTTCAATAATATATTATGCATATCAAACTTCAACAATTTAATCATATGGGTGTGCATCCTCACGTGAACATGTATGAATAATTTATTTCAAATATTCTTCAACCAACATGCAATTTTCTTCATGCATATGTACTTTGTATAAAATAAACATATGCATACTCCAATTGGTGAATATATCAAAGGGTACAACAATGAACTAGTATGTTTAAAGTCACAAAGCTTTAAACCATTAAAGGATCACACGGTTTAATTGGTTACCGTTAATAATTTAGTTTTAAATACACATGCACCTTTTCAATATGTAAACACCTATTCACATATACAATAGTTTTAGCATGAAGGAACATACATGCTCATGTCTGTTCACAGAATCAGTTGAAGACAGTTAACCACATGCCATTTCATACATCAAAACAAATAAATTTATGTTACACAACTCCTAACAGATCACACCATTTCAGAAATGAACAATTTGTTTTAATGCGGAAAGAGGAGTATAATTATGTAATAGATAAGACTCCAATCAGGAATGGTTGGACAGGACAATCAGATTCCTTTTCAATTAAAAATTTAATTTCCAACATGGATTCCAGGATAGGAAACTACCTGATTGTCTTACTTTTACAACTACTGACTGCCATGCGTAAATAATACTCTTTTATCATATACAAACATATGAATGACATAGTCACACACCACTTTTTCCTCCTCGTTTCAGACATAATTATTTTAATATATAAAATATTCAAGCCATATAGAACAGATCTTGTCGAATTCAAATACACATTCAGCATGCCAATGGCGATTATAGATATATAATCCGACTTCGTTATTACTGAAATCTTATTCATCACTTAAGGAATTCAAAAGTGTATCGTTCCCAATTAACCGAAAAGGAAAACAGAATTCTACAACCATGATTCTTATTTCAGAATTCAATCACTTAATGTCACAACTTCTGCATCTAATTTCGAACAGAAATTATGCACACACATACCAATTATTGGAATATAATATGCAGTTGAAACATATGCACGTGGTTTCTGCCTATTCATATTTCCACTTTCACAATTGTTCTTACAAACACATACAATTATTTATGCACAATCAAAATTCTCCTTAAAATGATTGGATATGACATGGATAATTGTGCATATAAAATTCACAAAACATACCTTTTGCATGTGAGATGATCAAACATAAAGTGGAATTTGAGAACATAGAATGATACTTATCGGATCTGAATGCATTACGACGAATTTCATCTTTTCATTTTCCAATGAAAATATTTCTTTTCAAACCTTTTCAAATTTTCTCGCCAAACAAGTGTAATTCCGGTTGCATTGCCAAATCCGGATTTAAAATGTGGAGAATCTTCAACGCCTTTAGAATAAACTTTAATTCATACTTGCCTTCATATGAAGTTCGCCCCATCAAATGTTTCAACCACGATATCATGTCATCAACTTGATCTATGTCAAAGTGATTCCGTTCTCCATCGCAATATCGTTTGAGATTGTTGGGAAATTAAATTCACCACCGGGGTTGGAGAAGAAACAATACAAAAAATTAGTCAAAAGCATGAAAAAACGAATCAAGATCATGACGAAAATAGAAGACTCAAACACAACGTTACATTGTTGTCCTCAAACGATATTTGTCCTCTCTTGGTATTAATGTTGGTGCTTAAAGGATCTTGCGGAAAATGGTTTGAAGGATTGATCAAGCCCTGATGTAGAGAAACACAAAAGCACAAGCATTTCTCCACCCGAACTTGAAGAACATAAAGGGAATATATGAATGTGGAGGAAGAAATGATTTTTTTTTCTTGTGGAATGATGACAGATTACCATATGTTTTGTAATTTGATTTCCATGTCTTTTATATGTCCAACAAACACATATTTATAGCCATGAATCATAGCTTCACGAAATGGTGCCAAAACAAGATGAAAAGTAGCAACTTTTAATCCAAAACGGCTTCCAAGTTTTAAATTGAAAAATCAGTCAACAACTATTTTTTAACAATATGCGTACGCATAGTAGAAGCAAAATCAATTCTGATTTTGCCAAAGCACATCTCGCGTACGCACAAAAATAAGCCTGTGCGTACGCATAGGCAAAAATCAAAATTTTCATTTTTCAATTTCTTTTGATTCTACCAATTTTACAATTAGTCCATTATCATTCCATTGATTTTGAACAAATATTCAACAATTACTTAGTGCAAATTTCATTCCTAGAAGAACTATAACACAATTGAAACATACGCCGCTGGCTGCAATGCAAAGCGTTTAACCACACAGAAGTTATGGAGGATTTTGCAAGCTCTAGGAGCTATATTGCTTTTGCATATTCTTATTCAACAATCCTCAAGGAAATTAGACGAGACGCCTTTCACAGCAATGAAATCTATTGTTATATTAAATGGATTTTATTGGAAAATTAAATCGCACAATTTGACTAATATAATTTCCACGGAATTAACTTCAGGACACAGCAAAGCATAAAACTATGAAGAATGCCACTTATCTCGGCATTACCATCACAAGAATATTTTATCTACCGTGGGACATGCTGCCATTGGAGATGATGCTCCCGGTAATCTTCATACCGGGTTTGGTTTTTATGTACCATACTGGTTACTGGACATAGACCATATTTCTATTGTAGTTCATCTTATCAGTGCTTACTCTTGATGCGGAATGAGAGATCACCAATGATTTTTCAAGCTTAGTATCCTCCAATTCAATCAAAACCTCTAACAAGCCGAGACCAAAACCAACAAACCAAGAAAGAATCCCAAACTCCGGTTGCTGGAAGAATGCCCACTTAGAACACACAATAGGGATTTTATTGCAGCTACAAAGGCCAAAGAAATTGGAGAAGAAATGGCACAGAGGAGAATACAAAGCAGAAGCCTTTTTCTCACCAAGTAGAGAAGCCAATGCAATCACACACATAACATGGCCAAGAAAGCAGCAGATATGTAAGTTGTGATTAGGGTGTAAAAGTGGGCCAAGCCCAATAGGTGATCAAGTGGATTGCTAAGTGGGTCATTCACCATAAGCCATCCACCCATGAGCAATACCGATAAAATCAGGTTGCTTCAAATGACCCAAATGATTTTAGGCCGAGTTGTATTATTATGAGGAGTTGACTTTTAGTTTAGTCAGTTGGTTAATATTGACTGAGAAAAAATCATACCCAGTTACGTCATAACACGGGAGATATTTTGACAACAATTTGTCTAACACTTATCAAGTGATATTTCGTCCTGATAGGACATTGTGTACATTGATTGATGATCCGTGAGGGATGAAGCCTTAATTTCGTACTAATTTACAATGATATACCTTATCATGTTAGATTCACTCATCTCATACAGAATCAGCTCTTTTAAAATGTCCCGTATATGATTCATTTCTAAGCATCCGAACTTCCTTTTTTCGATCTCGTTCTCTAATAGTGATGGAATAAAAAAAGAGAGACTAAATTGATATAATCTTACATTACTAAGTAGCTTGGTAACAAAACAGTTAATTATCTATCCAAGCCGAAACATTAATGGCAATCAAAATCCTAATTTATTTTGGTATCTGAAGAACTATTTTACTTTGCACGGATGTGCTGGCTTTCAATCTGTTACTGATCATCATAGTTTGAATGACGAAACGCAACAATCATAATTCTATAAGAACAAATAGTTCTACAAGGAATTTTTCTACGAAGTTTACTAGCTATTGATTAGTTTTAGTAAATTCAAGTAATTATCTCTCTCTAGCTTTGACTTTGTCGTGGCTTCATTCGTTTGTCATAATCAAACGTAAAAGTAAGAAGTAAGAAAATATATTCCTCAAATTCATATTAAAAAATAAACCAAAAAGGATAACAAATTCGAAAATCAATTCTCTGCCCACACGTTTTTGATGTCCATACATGGTTTGTGTCAAGTTTGGTGCATTTTTACCTTATTTATAGTATTTTTAAGATTGTAATACTCTCTAATTAAGTGAAGTATTAATCTAAACTTACACCCCAATGTTATTCCATGTGAAATGGATGAAAATGGTAATCACATAATAAAAGCAAAATGGTTAAGAAGGACACAATTGCCATCAGACAGATCCTAGAAAAAGGTGATGGCATTGATTGACCAGCGAATGTGAAAAGAAAGAAAGAAAGCATCACCAAGTGGAGTGGAGTTATTAAATTATTAAGATGCCAAAACAAGATTTGATTAATCTATCATCTCAATTATTTGGCTCTGTCCTTAATCACATCAAATCCCATCTCGGTTGGATCCGTAGCTTGCACTTCATAGTGGATCCCATCTAATGCCCTCCTTATTCCATCTTTCGACGTTGCGTAAAGCATTTTGGCTCTAATTTTTGATGTCGATGGTGCCCTAAAATATGTGAGATAAATCAACGAGTTAAGCTTCCGGAACTAATAATTAAGAAGCTAAGGGGTTGGAGTGACGGACCATGCAATGAAGAAGATCTTGCTTTTGCGGCAATTATCGACAGTAACAAAGTCGAAATCAAAGACAGCATATCGGCAATCATCCTCCGGGAGGGATGCAGCTAGATCATCGTAACCTTCACCGGCAGCACCAACTTTGTCCACCGTCACCAGCTTCGATCCCTCGTCGATCTTGAACACGATGTACCTGTGAACCTTCTTCCACTTCATCTCCATGAACGAGTTCTTGCATTCCTCCGTCACCCACATGCCGGTCGTGGCCTACACAACAAAACCACGATATATAAAGAAATCAGCTTACATACATACATATATAGAAATTGCGAGTATACCATCTTGAAAGCCATAGCCATGGTGGTTGCAAATTAGGATGGTGGTCAATTTTCTTTGCCAAGAATAGTGATCAGGGTCGGGAAATATTATTATTGCTTTGAGACTTGACGCTATGATGCCGATGCGGAAGCCGATCAAGTTCTATATATATATATATAAAATTTGGTCATTGAAATGCCACTGAAACTGCAATATATTACGAGTTTGTCCACATCTGTGTTTATAGATTTATATAATATTCAACGTGTAAAATAATACCGTCTAATTTATTTAACGTATTAAACATGTCTAGAGCCATACCCAGATCCAATGGATCGATGTCCAAAACCAGACAATATTTCATAATTGGCCCTTGCACTGTGAATTAGACAAGAATGTATTGGGACGTGTTTCCTACCCGAGCTAGTCTAATGGATAAAAATTGGTATTTTGACTGTAAAAGAATGTTGCGCACACATACGTATGGCCACTCAGAACTTTAACTACTAAAATAGTAGTATTCTCGTCAGATTTCATAATTTCAAGCCTCCAGCTTCAAAAATTGATCAGCTTGTTTTGAAGTTTCTTGAATTTATGTTATTTGACAATTGCATGTTTTACCAAGTTTCATACACAACTCTGAAACGGATGCAACTCCAGTAAATGATCCCTAAAAAGTTTCTTTCAGTAGCTTATTTGGTAACGTAAAATGTATAACGGTTATACTCAATTTTTTACAATGGCCTAAAGATATACGATTTACAAATTTTGTGGCATTTACAAGAACTCAAAATAAGCCTAAAGTAGGAGAATTCAATGTAGAAATTTAGTCTTGCATTGGGATGCAGATGCAGTGGTCCTATCTCGGATCATATACCTGAATCCCCCAAATATCTCTCTTGTATTTCCTCAATAGTCTTGGCGTATAAGCGAAGGGGACATAATGGTTCATCCACTTAATGCTTTATTACTTTAACTTTTCAAATCCCAAACTTTGAGTTTTCCCAGAAAATTGCTTAAGGAATGTAGGTACAGAGAATTATCTTATCATAAAATAATGTTTCAGATTAGATTTATTATTAGTATTTGATGTGACCATTCCATGGACAGCAAGAGCATCAAGAAAAAATAGAATTTTTACAAGCACTAAAATCTAACAATGTCTATCTAATGGACGTGCATGAGGAGACATGTTGGTCAGGGCCCCCAATTTATTTATACATAAAACTGCATAAACTGCAGCATACTAATTGGAAAGAAAAATAATTGTGTGGCTAATATTACCTGGTCTGGGACAGATCACACCAAAATTGCTGCGTACTTTCGACCTTTTGCCGATGGAAGTACTCAATTTGGTGGTGAAACTTCATCCTCCGAAGTAGTTGGGGGTCGAGAGTCGTTAAATGTCATACACGTACGCCCACACACTCTCCAGCACTAGCTATGCAGCAACTTTCTGAGGAATTTGACATGCATTGCAGGAGGGATGTTGCTGTGCAACTCTTTAATCTCTTTGTCTTTGGCATTATCTACAAATTGTCAAGAGATTGTAACATGGAACACTAGGTGAATCATAGACCATTAGGAATGCCAATCAAATTAGTATTATCATACTCAAATTATACGCTCATCTTTCCTCTGCTTTCGACATAAATAATTTCATCTAACCACCGATCAAAGAATGGAGGAAGAACATTTCGTAACAGGTTGTCCACTGCTAAAATGACGTAAAAACTCACTTTTTAATCACTTTCTATACCAAAGTCCAATCGGACAGTAAGAGTCTCGACTAGAAAGTGAACTCTTACTAGAATAGGGTCGCTAAAATTTGTTGTCTCTAAGCTTTTCTTATCTGTCCCCAGACCAGAAAAAGAATATCGACTGTTGAACTAGAGGCAAGATCATAAGGCAAGGACAACTAACCTGATCCAAAATTAGATAGAAATGACTGATTTGGAGATGTCATTTTGTGCTACTACAATAATCAATTAATAATTAAAAAGGTTGAACCCCAATCTTGAGGGCCCGACCGCCTCGTCTCGCCCCTAGAGCTTTGTGAGGGAGGTAAATCGTGGAATGTACCTCAGCAGGCCAAGGAACAAGAGCTGCTTGTATACTACGCCTACAAGGAGTATAATTTCATGTCTCAAGAATCGAACCCCCACACTGTGACTGCCAACAAGGCGTGAGATAACCTCACTCTTGTCCTTTACACTATTGGACTATGCCCCAGAAGGCAATAGTCGATTAATAATTTCTCATATTACTGGATGTTTCCTCCCTTGATGGGATAGTGACTCGGTGAGTGGACCGACAAATTTACAATTTACACGCCTATTAACAATAAAGCTCTTATTTTACAACATACTGTGTGATAGCAAAAAAGATACCACTACTTTTGTATATCAATAGTACCATAAAAAAGATAGACAAGCAACTCTTGCCTTGGATGGACTATATTTAAATTTTGCTTAGCTTTCCCCTGACCAGATATCGGCTGTTAAAAACTTTTGTTTCAACAGAGGCAAGATGAAAAGGTAAGAACATTAATCCTGATCCTAAATTAGACAGGTGACTAATTTGGAGCATGGGCGGAGCCAATGCATGTGATGCCTGCACTGGACTTTTGGGCAGAATTTTTTTTTTAAAAATTTTTTTATAAACCATTCTAAAGTTTCAAATATCAATAGTAATGAATATTAATAGTCTTTTTCAATATTTGATATCCAGCTCAGATAGAAAAACCCTATTAGAACCATTCCCTCAAAATTCAATTGACCCAAACCCATTCATTCATTTGAATCAATCCAGTCCTTTGTTCGTGAGTGAGAGAATTCGTTCCTGTTGCAGCGTTGTAGTTTCGGTTAGCACAGAGTATTAAAAATCACAGGGAACAAGTGAAATATATAAATTATGTCGTTTTTAGTATTATCGTACTATTATTTTATTTTTTTAGCGTCATTAAATCCATGACCAAAACCTCGACATTCGACGTCGAAAAAATTTTGCCCGCATTGAACTAAAATTCCGGCTCCGCCCCTGATTTGGAGGATATGGATTTGTACTACAACAATCAGTACTGATTTCTTATACGACTTCGAGTGGACTGACAAATTCACAATTTACACAATTGTGAAGCGCGAATAATGCAGCTCTTATTTTTCTAACTACCGCCTAATACCAAAGAATATTAGAAATCTTACCTGATAAACAACTCATCTTCTCATTTCAAGCAACTTTAAACCACGTCATGTTTTGGGGAAAAGTAGGAGCATCTTCCCGTGCATTATAAGCCATAAAACACACCAAGACACATCAAAGATAAGTAGGGGTGGCCGTAGACATTTTGAGTTAGGGGGCACAATCAAACTTGCAATAAAATTACAAGAAATTTTACATTAAAAAATTTACATAATAATAATAATAATAATTCATGTACTATGTAATTTACATCCGAAAATTTACTTGGAGTTTTACATTTTTCAGATGTAAAATTCCGAAAATTTTGATGTCATATCTCATGTAACATTTTCTAATAAAATGATGTAAATTATATTGAGAAATTTGTATCGGACAAATAATAATAATTGAATTTTTTGAAAAAAAGACGAGTTAGACCCCTCTTTTTATGATGCACATTAGAGCATTTTTAACTATATTTGATATTTGTTTGGACCGTTCAATATGCCTATGATATAGTTATCGAAACAAGTTTCGAGATGACATATGCGATTTGTGGATTTGGCTAGCATATGATCGTCAAAGAATTTTTAAAGTTATCATGTTATCGAAATTTTCAAAATATTAGTTTAAAACAGTCTACTTTGAAAAGTCATAATATTTGCTAAGGTTGGCCATTTCGCACGCCATTAATGACGTTTGAAAATAGGTCGTGAACATTTTGAAATAGTATTAAGAATGCAATATTTCGACTTTGTTTAACATCCCATAGTGATTTCGAAAATTGAGGGGAAAAAATGGCTCTAAAGTTGGGGGGTCACATGACCCCATGCCAACCCCTGTTTCCGCCTTTGAAGATAAGGCATTGCATCTTCCTTTGCTGCCGTTGTAGAATAGAACAAATCTCAGATGACGGAACTCTTCAAAGACTTCTATTTCAACTAATATTTTCTGTTCTTGTCAATATTGAGTGATAATTTGACTGTGTCAAGACGAGAATTCTAGAGACAGTTGCTCGAGACCGTTGGATAATACTTATTTCCTTTGCATGATCAAACGTTGCAATAGGCACGAGCAGTACTAATGGGATGAGAGCCTTGTGCTTATTGGAACCTGAAATGCCTCTCCTCCATGGACAATTAGGCTGACAATCCATTTCCCTTTGTGAATATTAGGGCCAGTATCCATCGACATTCATCACAAAATCCGTGACCACTTCTAGATTCTAGATAGAAAATAAAAATTATGACTATTGCCGTACTTTTTGTCTCCGGACAGAAATATGAATAATAATAAAAAAGTCTTATTCGTAATACACGAACATGCGTTTACTCAAATTTCATTTGAACGGACGTGAGAATATATTTGGAATCCATCGAATACGGAAAAAAATGAAATATCCTACTAATCAAGAAAAACGAACGTGTAACTTACAAACTCCTAAACATATATTTAAAGACTCAAAAATCTTTATCCAAGCGAAATCTTTGAGTCTATAAATAAATTCAAATAAAACGAAAAACTGCTAAAATGACGAAAATACAATTAAGCCCTTGTTTTACAATGAATCTTTCTCATTCTTTTTCCACCTACTCATTATCAACTGCATATTTTACAATAAAATATTTTTCACGTAAGCTCAAACTTTTTGTTACTTTTTAACCATTTATTCTCCCAAAATTTACCATTAAAAAACTATTTTTTTAGAGAAGAAAAATGCTTTGGAATTGTATTCATGATGAAAATTCAATACTTCATCCGAAAGTTATGTCCGTTTTCATAGATCATTCTTATTTCTTCTCTATTTTAATTGGCTTATGATTTTCTCTTTTAATTGATTCGCTTCATTTTTAAATCCATTATTTTTCCCAGATCGGTTTATTTTTAATTGATCGTCGTTTCAACATTCTCTTAAAAGTATTTCAATAATAATACCCATACATCATTTCTCACTTAGATACTTGAAGATGTGGATAGGGATGACAATG